TCTCCATATTGAATGTGCCTACCCAGTATTTAGCACAACAAATAAAAAAGGGCCCACACCAAGATGCATCATTGAGAAGTGTTAGACCATTGGGAATAATGAGAGAATCTCAAACGCTTCCCAGAAAAAGAAAAAAGAATGAGTCTTATGTTAGAAGTAAGGATCAGACTGCATCAGACTTATGAACTATAATATTAGACTGCAGAAAGCAAAAAGCAATGTCTTTTATGAGGGATACTATTTTTAAAAAACCTAGACTGTAATACCCAAACTGCCAATAAAATGTGAGGGCAGAATAAAGATAATTTCAGACATAGAAGGATTCACATAATCTACCTCTCATGTGTCCTTTTGTATGAAGCTACTAAAGGGTATGATCTAGGAATATAAGGTAAAAAGATAGGAAAGAGTTAGACATAGATCCAAGAAATAGAGGATCAATCGCACTGCAGAAGAAAAGGGAATCTGATCATTGAGAATGTGATTTGAGCACAGCAGCTCTTGAAGTACTGTAGAGAACACGTTGAGATTGATAGAGGAGGACAGGGCTCTAGTAAGAGTATCTCCAAGGAAATTTAAAAAATTGTAGAATGCTTCATGGATCTGAATGTAGTGATAGGAGATTTACATTTCTGGTAGAGAATAGGAAATGAATTTGTGATATGTACACAGAAAACTAAGCAAACTAATTAAGATAATCATCAATTCCAGGGAAAATAGAAATTCGTACCAAAAACAGCAGTATAATCATATTATATTATAAGCCTCAGCCTTGAATAATACTTATGTCATCTTAATTATGTAAAAACTGAATAATGATCAGAGAAAAACATAACAGAACTATTAAAAGAATAAGAGGAGAATGTAACAGACTAAATCCAGTTCTTCCACTGAAGGAAGTCCTAGATAATAATATCTAGAAGTGAAAAATCAAGAAATAGCTGCTTGAAATATGGAGATAAATACGAAAAAACAAAACGAAGCAAACAAAAAACTAGCTGAAAGAGTTGAACATGTTCACTTTTGAGTATGAAAATAGAACTAGACTTGCAGGTTGTGTAGGAAACAGAGCTGCTTCTGTCCTTTTAGGCTTTGAAGAGCTATTTGGCTTTTTATACTCTACACATTTACAACTTAGATGAAAATATAAACAATTTTAGAAAGAAAAATGACAATATACTTATTTTCATGACATGGAGGCAAACATCCTAAGAGCTAAAAGGAGAAAAAACTTGAAAGGGGTTTCCTTTGGGGAGCAGGACAGGAGTTGATCTTCACTGTAACCATTATTAAACCATTTTATTTTGTACAGTTGTGAGGACATTACATTGGAGAGAAATTTTAAAACAAAAATAAAAACAAGAAATTACCGGAATGAATTCAGGCATGGGGACATTTAAGAAGGCTTTGAATTTTAGCTCTGTTGCTTGCAGTTTTCCTGATCTTTAAAAGGTTTAACAACTTCCTTATGGGGGTAAGGAGTAAATGAGAAAACACATTTGGGAGCTCTTGGTAGACTCAAAATGATCAAGGAGGAATCCGTTCTTTCCTTTTACAGATAAAACCAGGGCCTTGGTTTTCAGTAATATAGACTCAACCTTTGAAAAACCCCTCTCTATCGCATGACTCACAAGGACCCTTCTATTACACCTTAGGTAGAAAAGGAATCGTTGACGTAGTGTACACGTGAATAATGAAGTCATTTAAAAAAAATGCCCTATGTGAAATAAGAAATGCCCTTTGTGTAATTTGACTAGCCTTGCAATGAGACCCTTTTCCCAACAATAAAGTACAATAAATAGTTTACTCACTTGACTTTTCTCAAGTGTTAATGATTCTTAAAATGAGTTCCAGATTCAACCTCTATCTGATAGTAATTAGAACCAATGCACTCATTGTGGAATGCCATCAGAGCTGGGCTGGGGTTAATGGGTTAGGAGTAGGGAATTGAAAAATTGATCCCCACAGCTCTTGGGGTAGGCAGCCCCCTGAATCAGAAGCCTCTGGTTAAGACCAGCCAAACTGTTTTACCAAGCACTGTACAATTAATATTCTTTGGGTATCAGGTTGTGACAAAGGTTGGGAAGCACTGCCTTAAATGGGTGCCATAAAAATCCCTTAAAGGGGCTGATAGTCTTTTAGGTAAAGTCTTGCTTAGCTGTTTACCAGTAAAATTTATAAGAAGAGTAGTTAAATTTGCATGTTTTTAATAGTTTTTTTAATGTTTCCAAATCTGACTGAAAATCATGTAATGTTAGATTTATGAATGTTTGGGTTAAGTTCAGCTATAAGTAATTTAATAGAGACCCCAAGATAGTAATGTAAACAATTAGATCATTATTCTATGCTGTGAAAAAAATTCTGGAGAAAGCCAGTCTAAGGCTAGCTTGGTGAGCACATTGTCTTGAGAGATCCCAGTTACTTTTAGCTTTTGCTCTTACGTGCTACATGTGAGTCTCCTCCTCAGGAGCGAGAGCCAGCACACCCACACCCCAAAGAGTGGGATGCAGGAGAACAGTGTGCCCTTTCCTTTCCAGGGAGACTTCCCAGAAGTCACCATCCAATTTCCATTTAGGTCTCATTGTGTGGAACCCAGTCACATGACCACACATTGTTGCAAGCACGGTGTGCAAAATGTGGTCTTTTAGCTGGGTGGCAACATGTCTAGCTTAAAAATAGGAGTATTAATTTAAGAGAGAAGGAGAGAAGGGCTATTTGGTAGGCAACCAGAAATCTTCATATGTTTTAGTAACTGCCATATAATTCATTTTAAACAAAAACAATCTGTCAATTTGTTATTTTATATATATTGCTAGAAAGGTTAACAGAAGCATTAAGGAAGACCAATTAGCAAATTCATTGTTTGGGGTTCTGATTCCATACTTTCGTAGGATTTAACTTAATAATTAATGATTAAGGCAGTGTAGGTAGATTTTGCCTGGCTTCCATTTATTAGCTGTGTGACCTTGAGAAAGTTACCTCAATGCTCTGTGCCTTACTTTTCTTTTTTGTAAGATCGAGATAAAAATAATAGTATCCATATAATAGGATTTTAGAGGATTAAATAAGTTAATACAGTACATGTAAAGTACTTAAAATAGTGTTAGCTATTACTATATCTTACTCTTGAATTAAAACCTTTTTCATTAGTATCACAGGTACCTCTAACAACCCAATCCTCTGTTAAGAATTTCCAGGTATGCAGTATTTTCCTGGTTTTGCATTTGTAGGCACTTAAAAATGCTGATCCCTGGAGTCAAATCATAGGGCTTTGCTTGCACTAATAAATGTTATGTTTTATAGTAGCATTATGAAAAGGAAAGGAGTTGGCATTGGTAAAATTGAACAATAACTGGTTTGTCTCTTTTTGCTCCCTTTCTCCCACTTCTTCCTTTTAATAGACTGTACTGATGAGATCACCTCCCTGCCCTCTACACACACAGTCTCTCAGCCTCCTGTTGCCCCAGGGCTGCACAGGCTTGGTCTCTCCAACCCCCACTGCACTGCACCCTGCCTTTAGGCCTTCTCAGTCATGCTCCCTAATCATTTCTGGTTGTTTAAAGTGATAAAATTGCACAAATTGGGGCAAAAATGCCATTTCCACGTGCTTCCCTATTATTTTCTGTTTTTCTTTTTTAAGTTTTCTTCAAACATCTCCACAAATAGAGATGGTCTATTTTTCTTTTAGCAAACAATATTTAAGATAAATTTTGATGATTAATTGCAGTAAAACTGAAGCTAACATACTTTCTCAGCTTTTTTAAAAATAATAAAAATTGGATTAAGGAAGAAAAAAGAAAAAAAGTTCTTATTTCCATTCACTTGTGACTTTTCTCTTTGGACTTAAGGCAACAGCTTCAGTTATTGCTGTTTCTTTTCTGGGATGAGGGAGTAAATAAAGCATAGAATATGTGCCTCATCATTTGTCTGGGCAAAGCTGAGAAGTTCACATTCCTTCTGCTCATATTCTATTGGCAAGAACTTAGTCATATGGTGATACCTAGATACAAGGGAGGCTGGGAAATGTAGTCCATAGCTTGCATTGCTGTGACCAGCTAAAGCTGGAGGTGGGGGTTCTATGACTAAAAGTGAAAGGGGGGAGGAAATATGGAGATTGTTAGCAGTCTTTCCAGACAAATGTATCACACAGTTGCAATATAGTAAAGCAATTTTATTTTGCTTTTTACGTAAGGTTATATCAAGAGCATTTTTTGCCATGTTACTACATGGTCTTCATAATTATAAAGTACTGGCTTTATGATAATGCATTGAGTGTATAATCAATAAATTATTTAATTCTTCCTATTGTTGAAAGTGTAGATTCTTTCCAGTTCTTTGCTATTATAAACAATGTCATAATAGATCTTTTCATGAGTATATTTTTAAAAAATCTTTTGGGGATGATTCCCTTAGGATGAATTCCCAGAGCTAGGATTACTGGGTCAAAGAGTATGTGAACATTTTATGATTCTTAATGTTTTTGTTCCAAATTGGTTTCTGAGAAGGCAGTTACCAATTTGTTCCCAAAGGAAATATGCACATTTTTCTATAAATGCCGTGGTGGGAGTCATATTCACATATCCTTGTAGGTAGAATATTTTTAGTTTTTAGGGTCTGGCTGGAAGCAACACAGGACAACATAGGACTTGGGTCCAAATTCTCTTATTCTGCCACTTCATAGCTGTATAGCTGTAGGCAAGTATTAATATTTATTCTCCCTGTGCCTTAGATTCCTTATTTTAAAACTGAAGGAACAAATATCTCCTTCATAAGGTTGTGGGTAATTATTAAGGCTGTTGACAAATATTGTTTTCCCCATATTCTATGCATGTGTTAGAAATGCAATTCTCTGCCTCCTTGAAGGTAGATAAGACCTTATGACTTGTTTTATTAGCCAATGAAATGGAAGCAGAACTAACATGAGTTATTTCCAGGCATATGTTTTAAAAGTCTAAGTGTGGCTCTCTACTCTTTTTTTTTTTCCTTTTCCATATGACTAGAGATGTTCCAGATATTGCCAGCTCTTGATACCCAAGTCCTAGAGTAAAGATGGCACAGAGTGGAGCTCCAAGCCAACCTGCGATGGATGTGTAAATTGAGCTAGAAATAAATCTTTGGGTTTTTTGAAGGAGCTGAGACTTTGGTGTTGTCTGTTATTGCAACACAACCCTAGCATTATTAATGGGATAATATGCATAAGATGTTGGACCAATGGTAAAGCATTAATATATGTCTTTTGTGGTAATAATAACTACCAATCATTCAGTGCCTTCTATGTGTCAGGCATTTCTATACATTATTTCTAATCTTCAGAAAAATCTTGCATATTAGAAAAACTTCCACTTTATAAAGGAGAAAAACAAATCTTGGGATGGTTAGTGTTCTGCCTAAGGTATCCAGCTAGGAAGTTGTAGAGCTGGGATTCAGATCTGGTGTGTTTCTCCTCATCTTCATCTCTTTTCCTTGTCTTTGGAACTTTATGGCCTTATTTTATTGTTGTTTACATCATGGTGTGAATTTCTTTGCAACATTTGTTTATGAAATTCAAATTAATTCTTGTAACAAAATCTCTACCTTCTTGAACTTTTTGCAAGATAAACAGAAATAAATTGAGTTAAATGTACAGTAGCTTACTATATCAAGTCCCTGCTTGTTCTTCAGAAAGCTCATGAACTCAAGTACCTTTTTCATTTTTTCTTGGCTTGAATATGCCTGAGAGCAGTTAAGATTTACATGCTTATGAAAGGAAAAAATTGTTTCAAAATTAGAGTAGAGTGAGTCAGATTAGAATAAGTTAGATTCAGTAAATTCTCAAACCTGCATGTTTACAGTCTCTCCCTCTTTCTTATAACAGCTTTATGGAGTGTTCACGTACCATGCAATTCACCCATTTAAAGTGTATGGTTCAATGACCTTTAGTATATTCACAGAGTTGTGCATCCATCACCACAATCAATTTGAGAACATTTTTACTACCCCAAAAAGAAACCCCATGCATCTTAGCCATAACGCCCAACTGCCTCACCCACTCCACCCACCCCCAGCCCTAGGCAACTACTGATCTACTTTCTGGAGTCTGTCTCTTTTTACAATGGCTCCCAAAATGACGGTTTCCCACCATCCCCAACAAATGATTCTTCCTCCTTCCCACCCAATCCCACCTCCAACTCTGCAAAGCTTTGCTCAATTATGTTTTAATTCAAAGCTCAAATTCTAAAGTATCTGGTATAATAGACTAATTTTTTTTTCTAAATTTTTTTTACTTAAAATTTCCTTGTAGTGTAATACTAAAGGTTAAAAAAAGTACAATTTTTTTTTAAAGCTCTCATCTGTTCATGCTCTGATTATCCAGTTTATGGAGTTTTAAAAATCTTCTCTTTCATTGTTCTCTGTGAAATGAGCCATTTCACAGCTTGTTAGTACCTCTAACTGATAATATAAAGTGGTCAACCAGATGAGATTAAATTAAATTGCTCTCTTATATATAACTCTGGGTTTTAAAAAGTGTTGGTTAGGGGAAAGGCAGGAATTGAAATTAATGATTAAAAAAGAGTAAGGATGGCTGGGGGTGGTGGATCACACCTATAATCCCAGCACTTTAGGAGGCCCAGACAGGAAGATCACTTGAAGCCAGGAGTTTGAGACCAGCCTGAGCAACATAGCAAGACAGGAAGATAGCTTGAGGCCAGGAGTTATAGACCAGCCTGGGCAAGACCCTGTGCCAAAAAAAAAAAAAAAAGGTGTAAGAATCATTTGTGAATTTTAGTGACCTATATTCACAATTACTATGAAGAATTTCTGGTTTATTTTTAATAATGTTCATTGCCATGGAAATTGACAAATTGTTAAATAAGGTTTCATTTGTTACTATGAGACTCAAATTATCTGAATGATATGGTTGGAAACAATAATTTCTAGAACTAGCACCAGCTTTCAAGGTTTGTTGATGGAAGGGAGTTTTTAAGCTAATAAATTTTATTCATGTTAAATAAAACAGGAAGCAACAAACTGCAGCTAAGCATTGAAAGGATGCGAGAGAGAAATTGTTTCCTAGGACAGAAAAAAATTAATGAAACATGAATCTTTGAATGAAACACTGAAGATGGTATTTCTACAGCACATTGAATTGAGGGTGAATTAACTCGTTTATGGGGGGTCTGATTCTAGTCTCTACTTGTGCTGTGCTGACTTGTTTCCTGTGTGTTTTGGATACGTGTGGTGATAGCAACCTGTTAGTCTCTGGTAAAACCCAGTCCAAAGATATGTGAGGCCTGGACATGTGAGGCTGAATAAGCACATCTTAGAGCCATGAAATATATTAACATTGTTGGGCAGTTATGGCAACGGAAAAACAGTGTTAATGAACAAGAATGCTTAAAGGGCGATGGCTTAATATATGGTACAAGCAGGCACCTTTATAGGCAGAGAGGACATGCCTGTTCTTTATTCAGTGAGCTTTGCAAATTCTAATTCTGCCCTAATTATAACTGCCTTGTTCTTGTGAAGCTTACTTTCAGCAAATATTTATTCAGGAACTAGGATATCATGCACTATGCTCTGGGCTAGGAACTGTGAGTGATATAGAATATAGAAATGGCAGGATCCCTGGCCTCAAGATTCTGTTGTTTTCAACAGCACAGATTAGATTATGTTTGGGATTCAATGAACCCATTACGTAGACCACAACGTTAGTGGGGAAAATGGGAGAGTTGAAACGTTCTATTAGAACCAGATTATTAGGTTCTTGAATACCAAATTTATATGTTAGGACTTTATTATTTGGAAAGTAAGGACCCACAGAATTGTTTAACATTAAAAGAAAGTGATTAAAGCTGGTTTTGGCTATCTATTCACATTTTTTGGCCTCACTGATATCTTTTTTTAGATGGTAAGTTTTCAGTGAACAAAAGCAATATGTATCTTGCTTAATGTCCAATGCAATGTTGTAGAATATGACTAATATTTAGTTCATGTAAATAGTAGCTATTACTAAAAATTCCTGTGCTCTTAGTGTGGAAGGCATAAAGGACCCTCTTTGTTCTTAGTATTTATTTAGCTAAACTATCTTCCACTTCATCACAGAATAATAAGAAATCCAGGCAACTGTGGCAAATCATTTGCCCAAAAAGATCACTTTTAAATCCTAGTGAAGCCATCAGGTACTATGAAATGTGAACATGCTATAAATCAATATGTTCTGTATTTTATCAATTCAGCATTTTTTTCAGTGTTATCTCTATGGATAGATTCCAGGGGATTAACATATATTTAAATTATTTAAAGTTCCAGTTAAATCAACAATCATAGCCCCCTCTTTCATTGCCCTTTATATCCTCCGGGTGCAGGGTGGAGTGGGGGGTCTCCTCATACCAGACAGAATGTGAAGGTTGCCACCACAGACAGACTCCGTATTGTAAATCTGAAGAACGGACAGAGGAAAACTTGCAACAGAGTTAGAGGGAAGGAGGAATGCTGGTGACTATTGCAAAGCCTGGAATGGTTCCCTTAGGAATTTAAGGAGGGAAAACAAGAGTTTTTGTAGTTTCCAGAAATAGAACTGCCTGCCAGCTTCCTTCCATCCTCCCTCTTAGCCTAGCTGCAGGAGAAGAACAGGCAGGCACATGCAGGCTGACAACTTTCCTGCTTGTGACAGCTCCAGATTACAAATGTGCAGAACAAGATTACAACGCCAGCATTCCCAGGCCCAAGGAGCAAAGAGGGGCGGGATGGGATGAGGTGAAGGAAAATTAAAATGAGAGGAAATAAGTAGGGGAGATAATGAGCAGAAGAGGAAGCATGGGGTGGTAGATGCGGTGGTAAAGGCCCGGTAGAGGCGAGAGGCAGATGGCATGAGACACAAAGCCCTGTGCTCCCTGGGTGTGTGTCTGAGAGATACGTGGGTGTGTTTGTAGAGGAAGTTGTGGGGGCATGTGTGTGCACAGAATGTATGTTAGGGAGGGGTTTTATGGGTGTAGGAGTGGGAGGGTGTGTGCAGTAGGGTGTGGAGTGCGGGGGTGGAGAGAAAAAAGAGAGTGGAGGGAGGGAGGACTTTTATGGTGCCAGGAACACCCATTTCACAAAAGAAATTTGCCAGCTGCCAGAGACTCAAATCTCCTTTGTGGGAACAAATCAGCTCCCCATGGTGGATTGTGGCCTCCGATCTGACCCCAGGATGTTTGCCAGATGTTTGACCCATGAAAGGAGGAACACAGTTTCTGGATTTTTACCACACCCTGATCCAGGATCTTTCCCAGGGACTGATGTTTTTGCTTACGTATTATCATAGTGCTGGTCACAGAGCAGCAATTCTTGGCAGACAGTCCAGTGAATAGAACTGTAAATTAGAAATAAATACTTTCCAGTCTTGGTTTCTTCATGTACTTTTTGGTGGCCTTTGAAACCCTACTGTACTATTTCTGTGCCTTGGTTCCCAATTTTTCTAGTAACAAGAAAGAATACATCAGCCAGCTAAGGGAAATATGGTATAGAATTAATAATTGCAAAAAATAAATAGTTATAAAGATCCATGGGTGACAAATTTTAATTCAGTATGACAAAGAACTTCTGCTAATTAGGATTGTTCAAAACTAGAAGAGATTAACACAGGAGGTAGTATGTGTCACATTATTATACATATTCAAATGGAGTTGGGATGACCAGTTGTTGGGTGTTAAAGGGCAAATAAAGGTGTACTTAAGATACGCTGAAGAATTATGCAAAAACCCCAAGACATTATGATTCTAGGACTATACAGTGCTTTAAGCAATATAGGATTATTTTGAATATTAAAGTTTCTTAGGTATGAAATAATATATTAAATGATCAACCAATAAAATGTCTACTGAGTGATTAGCACTATTATTGGACAGGCTGTATGTACAGCATATAAATGCAGAGAGAACTTGAGGCCCAAGTTTTCCATAGTAACCCCCAAAGAACTAAATTCAGAGAAAGAAGACTATGCCATGTAGCAGGGAGAAGTATTCAATCAAAACAGGCTAGAACTCTTATCAGTCATTCTGAAATAGCATCTATTTGTGAGAAATCCTGTACAATTCTGTGTAGTACTGAAGAATGCTAGGGACACTTTCTCTTCGGTGATTAAAAACTTTGAGATGCTTGTTGATCACCCCGTTCAGACACATACTAGTGCTTGTTTGAGAAATGGTACGGAAGGCCTCAGAGCTTCCTTAGCTTTCCAAGCTAAGGAAGTCTTGATAAGACTTCTCAAAGTTATGTGCACTTGAGGCACCCAGGGCTCTATTAAAATGCAGATTCTCATTCAGTAGGCCTGGGGAGTTGCCTAAGAAGATTCCTGTTTCTAAGAGATGCTGATGAAGCTTGTCCACAGGCTACTCAAAGAAGCAAGGCTGGGTGAAAGCAGTGAGGAAACTCTAGGTGCTGACCTGTTTTCCTTGGCAAGGGCACACAATGCATCAGGGGAATGAGATTCAATACAATCCCATCCGTGGAATCACAAAATGTATTTATTTATTTAATTTTTTAGAGATGAGGTCTCACTTGGTCACCTAGGCTGGAGTGTAGTGGTAGGATCATAGCTCACTGTAGCCTCAAACTTCTGGGCTCAAGCAATCCTCCCACCTAAGACTCCCAAGCAGCTGGGACTAGAGGTACACCACCACATCTGGCTAATTTTTAAGTTTTTTGTAGAGACAAGATCTCACTATGTTGCTGGTCTCCACCTCCTGGCCTCAAGCAATCCTTCTCTCTCAGCCTCCCATTACAGGTGTGAGCCACGGCACCTGGCCAGAGTCAAAAAATTAATAGTGTGGAAGGAAAGAAGACTTGTGATGCCATCTAAAAACCATCATTTGGCACTTTCCAGTGGTGTAGGTGAGGGAGTAAGAGATCTGTGTGGGCTGTATTGGGGCCTCCTTAGGGTGATGATAACATGGTCTCTTAGGGTAAATGTCAGGGACTTCTTGGGAATTCCAGGCTACACTGTCAAGCAGATAAAGTTTGTTTTGGTCCCCTCTTCCCCTGCTTGTCTCACACTTCTTAGAACATTCCTTTTTCTAAGAGAGAACTTTGATCTTTACTTTGAAGACTTTGACCTCAACTAATTGTCTTAATCTCCTAATCAGATGGTAAAGAATTTAAG